ATATGTATAAAGGTCTCACTACAGCTCTGTAAAGGCACAAATATTGCAAACCTCTCTGTAATTTAAAGTGTTACTAAACCCAGGACCCTGCATTCATTATATCTGGTCTCCCACGGTACAAATATAAACGGCTAAATACCTTTTCTCCTCAGCAGTTAGAGCAGTCTTGTGATTTCTATCAGTGTTCAGCAGAGCACTAGTTAAAGCTTGTAGGAGGAGTTTTCTTTCTGCTCTAGGAGGATCCAGAACCCCTGATCCTCTGTCTGGACAGTGCTGATTGGCCCTGTGCTGGTCACATGCACGCTCCCAAGAAAAAAAAAAAAACCCTCTCTAGCAATACATACCAAACTGAGCATGTGGAGTGTTTCCGCACCATATGTCTTATCAGGAGATAAGAGGGGGGCACTGGAAAAAGTGGAGAATCAGAGAAGTCAAGATCAAACAGCATTTTTACACAATGCAGAGGATTAACCCCTTAGGTTCCACAGCAAGTATAACAAGCATGGTTTACTGCATATACAGACTGATTTTACTGTTGTGGGTTTAGTAACACTTTAAGTCTCTTTAATACAAGAAAATAAATGATATTCTCATTCTATATAGAATTTTCTATGTATTTACAAGTCAATATATCGTAATTTATTATTATTATTCCAGGTACTTATATAGCACTGCCAAGTTACGCAGCGCTTTACATATATATTGTACTTTCACATCAGTCCCTAACCCTCAAGGGGCATACAATCTAAGGTCCCTAACTCACATTCATACATACACATACTAGGGCCAATTTACGCAGGATCCAATTAACCTACCAGTATGTCTTTGGAGTGTGGGAGGAAACCCAGAGGGAACCCACGCAGGCACAGGGAGAACTTGTAAACTCCAGGCAAGTGGTGCTGTGGCTGGGATTCAAACCAATGACCATAGTACTGCCAGGCAGACATGCTAATCATTTAGACACTTTGCTGCCCTTCCTACACAATTTACACATTGCCATTATAAGAAACAATTTTAAACACGTTAGCAAAGTTGAAATAAATTACATCCCTTAGCTTTCTCTCTGTCTCCAATTTTGCAGAAGGAAGCAAGGACTTGTTTGACAACATCTGTCTTTTACAAACCCATGCTAGTTTTTGGTTATGATATTATCTGTTACATACTCCTGTATGTGGTCCCTTACGAACCCCTCAATATCTTTACTGCAACAGGTGTTAAACAGATTTATAGCTAGTGGGTGATAACACTTTTTAAAAACAGGTACCCTATTTGCATTGTTCTGATCCATTGATACCAAGTAATTAAATACTGTACTCTTGGAAAATAGAACCAATGGCTAAAAACAACTGAAACCGAATTCAATTCTTTAAGGACACATGGATGGTCAAGATCAGTCTTTCTCAACCTGGGATCAACCCTTGGGTTCCTCCAGAGGTTACATACGTACATAGATGTTAAACTGAAATAAAAACACCAGTCTTTCCAGTTGAACCACAGTGTGTGTATGGTACTGACAATTTCCATATCTCTGGACATTGTGTTTGCTAAGAAACACATTTCAAAGGTTTTTAATCTATCTACACTCAAGCTGACACCACCACCTGTGAAATGTAGTTCCACATCCTTTCCCCTCTAACAGTAAAGAAACACCTGTTGACCGCCTAACTGGGAAAATACTTCATTACCCCTGAATACAGGTGTAACATGTTAGAAAAGGTGAACGTATCCTTCAAATAGCTTCCTCCCAATGATACAGTCCCCATTTAAAGATTTGTATATTGCAATCATATCTTTTCTTAAGCGCCTCTTCTCCAAGGAGAATAGATTTCATTTTTGTAGTCACTCCACATAACTAAGATCCTTCAGGCCTCCTATTAGCTTTGTTGCCCTTCTCTGGACTCTTTACATTTTAAGGAAATCCTTCCTGAGAACTGATGACCAAAACTGGACTACATACAAAAAGCTGATCTTCGGGTTTTCTGTGGCTTTAAATAGCTTGTTTGGACCAAGCTGGTTCAAACAAACTATTTCCTTCACTATGTGCTGCACTGGCTCTAAGCACTGTATTAGCTGTACGTAGCTTCAGCTACATACAGTACACAGTGCTGTGTTCTGGCTGTGAGACAGAGACATACCCGGAAAAAAAACAGAATCGGCATGAGCAGTGCTCATCCATTCACAAGCAGCTTTGTATTCTGTGAATGAATACAAAGCTTTCTTTGCTTGGCTCAGTAGGCGAGTGTGACATCATCAGCCCGCCTGTCCAACTCAGCCAATCAGGGGAACCATTGTATTCATTCACAGAATACAAAGCTGCCTATTAATGGCTGATTGTCGCTCATGCCGACTGTTTTGTTCCGGATTTGAGATGGAAAGTCTCTGTCTCAGCTGAAGCTACTTACAGTTCATACAGCGCTTACAGCACATAGTGAAGGAACTACTTTGTTTGGACCAGCTTGGTCCAACTAACTAAAGTCAACTTTTCTAATGCATGATAATAGACTACTAGCCTTGCTTGCTGCAACGCAGCATTACATGCTATTGCTGAGTTTGTGATCTACCAGGACCCTCAGGTCCATTTCCATCCTTCCTCCACACAACGGTTCTCCCCCTAGTGAATAACTTGTATGCACACTTTTAACTCCCAAGTGCACTACTTTATGTTTTTCTTTTCCGATACTTTTTATTGGGTTTGAAACAGTTATACAAAATACAAAGCATGCCATGTATGCTTATGCACTGCATTTTTTCAAACAGATGTGACACAAGGTTTCCAACATGTTTGCACTGAAGGCCATCACCATGTTGACAAACCATTTCTCATATACCCGATATAAGGTGGAACTGCAATGGGGAGTAAAAGGATAACAATAAGGGAACCCCTACTTTAAATTTTTCAATAATAAACCTCATCTGCCATATAGCTGCCCATCCCTCTATTTTAAACCAGAGCTCCCTTCAAAAGGGGAAGTGCCGCTTTAAGGACTGGTCCCCCACTCCCCATTAAGGATTGGCACCTTTGGGAAGTGGGTACCCAAAATTGACAGGTACCCGCTCCCACTACGATTGCCTAGGTGATCAGAAGCGGAAGTTGTCCTTTCCCTCCCCCTCCCGTAGTCTTCTGGGAAACGTGACAGGTCCCAGAAGACTACGGGACCATTCACAAAGCACAGTGCTTCTCGCACATGTGCAGTAAGCATTCGGCTGTGAAGCCACAAGCTGTCACAGCCAGGTGCCCACAATGAAGATGCCGGCACTGGGAACACATGGCAGCCGGTGAAACGGGCTGCGGGGGGGACAGGTAAGTGTCTGTTTTTTAAAAGTCAGCAGCTACAGTTTTTGTAGCTTCTTTTCTTTTTTATGTTCACTTGAAGTCTGCTTTAACTATGTCTTCCTGCAAAGTTGCTGTATCCTGATGAGAAATTATTGCCCTGCTTAGCTTTGTATCATCAGCAGTGAAATTTAACAATTTATTACAACCTCCATATCATTTTTGAACAAAATTGGTCCTAGGTTGCTAGGCAATTTTGCCCCCCTGGATAGGTTATCACTGACAGAAATGATCTTCAGATATCTGTAAGAGGGATGTTCTTCTCACTGATCACCAATATAAGGAGCATTCTTCCCACTTATGCCCCGTACACATGATAAGAAAATTGTACAAAAATTTTTGCGGAACCACTGATCAAACGATTTTCTCTTCGTCGATAAGCAGGATGTTTTAACCGATAATGATATTGTGAACAAAAAAATCCGGTTGAACAAAAGTAAATAATGTTGTCGTTTCACATATGAACAACAGATTTTCTATGCAGTGGTATGACGGTCATACAAAAAAAATCTATCGAGCGCATGAGCGGAAACAGAAGATTGCCCGGATGTTTATGTCCAAGGAATCTTTGTAAACACGAACGAAAAATCCAAATGTTAAAAGTAGATTGGTCTAATGAGATAATGAAACCAGAATTCTGTATATTATATTTTATGTATCACTATTTATGCATATATTTAATGTAATAACCTATATTATACTCATTGCTGTTAATTATTGTGTATATCGCTCGTTCTGGCCGGAAGGGCGTGGCTACAAGGTCACATGCACACTGTATCACATACACTTGTACAGAAGACGTCAACACTACTTATTGCCTGCCGAACAATTTTTTGAGATTGGTTAATGTGGGCCACGATTTCGACCAAACGAACGAACGCCTCTCGGTCGTCGGATGACCGATCAGTCAATTTTCTAATCGTGTATTCCACCTTAACTGTATTGGGGCCCTTTTCCACTGACCATCAATGTAAGTGTGTCTTCCCTCCACAGACCATCAATCTAATGAGACATTTATTCCCTGACCACCAATGTAATACAGCACTGCACAGACTACTAGTGTAAGGGGGCATTGCACTAACCACCAATGTAAATAGGTACTTCGCTGACCATCAGTGTGAGGGCACTCTACAATATTCAGACTGTACTTCTTTTCTGGCCATTACCAGTATTTATTTCATTTTATTATTATTACTAAAAATAATGTAATTTTGTTGTATAAAGCAGCCCTGGGTGTTAAACATGCTAAATACTCCCCATCACTTATTCTTTTATTTATTCTCATATACAAAGCTTACTGTTCACGCTAATGAACCATAATCTATTAATGTAAAAATTATTAGTAGGGGTTCTTTGAGACCTGAATGTTATTTCAAGAGTTCCTATGTTAAAAGGGTTGAGAAAGCTGCTTAAGGTGCTTTATTCACATTTACGAACCATTTAAATATTAATCGCCACCCACCCGCCATATAGTCCAATGATGGGCGCAAGGTGGCTCTCTCATTCAGGGAGGATGTCATATGACGTCCTCCCAGTCATAGACCACGCATGTGCGGCTCCGGGAGCATGCAGTGCGGCGATTGGCGGTGCGCTGTGTCACTCGGGCACAGCGGATCACCGATCCATGGAAAGAGCCGAAGATGTCGGCTCGGTCATGTGATCAGCTGTGTCCAATCACAGCTGATCGCATGTAAACAGGGAAATGCCGGTTATCGGCATTTCTCTCCTCACGAGCTGTCACGCTGACAGCTCGAGAGGAGAGCAGAGCCTGGTAAAAAAATCAGCATATCTCGGAGGGGACATGTACACAGATCATCAGAGCACTGATGATCAGTGTGCCCTGATGATCTGTGTAGCCCCAGCAGTGCCACCTGTCAGTGTCCATCAGTGCCAGCTCTCTGTGCTCATCCATGCCACCTGCCAGTGCCCATCAGTGCCACATCAATGCCACATATCAGTGCCTACCAGTGCACATCAATGCCACATATCTGTGCCCCATCTGAGCTGCCTTTCAGTGTCACCCATCAGTGCCAGTCAGTGCCACCTGTCAGTGCGCATCACTATCAGTGCGCATGCCACTATCCTGCCACACCTAACAGTGCCAGTCAGTGCCACCTATCAGTGCTATATATCAGTGTGCTGCCTTTTAGTGCCCATCATTGATGCCTGTCAATGTCCATCAGTGCCTCCTCATCAGTGCCACCTATCAGTGTCCATCAGTGCAGCCTCATTAGCGCACATCAGTGAAGGAGAAAAATCACTTATTTACAAAATATTTTATATCAAACTAAGAAAAAAGTTTTTTTTTTTTAAAAAATTTTCAGTGGTTTTTGGTTTAAGAAAAAATAAAAAACCCAGAGGTGCTTAAATACCACCAAAATAAAGCTCTATCTGTCACCAAAAAAATGATAAAAATTTTATATGGGTACAGTGTTGCATGACCGCGCAATTGGCCTGGGCAGGAAGGGGGTATAAGTGCCCTGTAGGCTAGTGGTTAAGCTACTATGTTACATTTGACATTGAGTCAGTACATCTTTGTACTGTACTGGACTGCACACAGCTAAAAGAGGATATCTAATAGGTTTGCCTCAGCCACCGAACCAGCTAAAAAGAGGATATCTAATAGGTTTGTGCCTCAGTACCGCTCCTGCCATGCCCGACGTGTTTCGTCCCACCCACCGAGACTTGATCACAGAGCTTCTGTGATCAAACCCTGCTGGGCAGGGCAAAATGCGTCAGTGGACATGGCCGAAGCGGTGGCTGAGGTCATCCTATACATCTGGCTCTCTGGGTTGGTACGAGCGGCGTCTGTCTCTTCTCAAGAACTGTGACCAGCTATGAACATTCAAGTAGAACTTGTTTTAAAGTTTATTTTCTACTTGTAGAATATGTAAATGTTTAAATGTACATGGCCTGGTCATAGTTCTACTTTACAGATATTTCTTAATTTCTCTAGCAAACCTGTCTTTTATACTGAATTTACTACTTTAATTTCCATTTTGTCAGTCTTGTATTTTGTAAGAGTAAAACATTCTCCCTTCCAAGCTTGTTTTTGGAGTATTTAAGCCATTATTCATGAATAAGGTGCCGATCTCCAACAATCGCATGTGGTGCGGGTCCATTGAAGCCTATTACACGCAAAATGCAATCTACTGTGGGGTAAAAAAAAAAACAATCAACGACCCTTTCCAAAAAAATGCACTGGCTCAAAACACTAAGATGTGAACCAGATCCATAGCAAACCATGTTAAAGGGGTAGTAAACTGCAGAAAAAGAAAAAAAAAAAGTCCCCTGCAAGGTAATGCCATAATGTGTTAGTATGCACTGCATACTAGCGCATTATGTAAAACTTACCTTAAAATGAAGCCCTCCAGCATTGCGCTGTCACCGCTGCAGAGGCTTCCATCTTCACCCAGTCTTCCTTCCGAGTTTGCGAGCTCCAGCCGTCCGACAGGCATACGCGCAGGAGTCCCAGGCCATGGCTCATAGCCCCGAAGGAACAGCACAGGTATGCCGTTCCTGCAGTGCACATGCTCCGGCTTTAAAAAAAGAGAGAATATCTCCTAAATGGTGCACGTTTAGGAGATATTCATTTTACCTACAGGTTTACTACCACTTTAAATGCACTGTTGTGCATTTTTGCAAAATGTACTAAAAAACCCGCACAGGTGTGAACGAAGGCTTACAGCTCGAATTTTGGTTGTATCAACAGGAACTAGAAAAAATTTGAGCCTTGTATGACCAGCTTTTGCTTTAAAGGCTACTTTCACACTGATCCGTAGCAAAAATACTGTGTTTTTATCATGTTTGCAGTCCTTTTTTTTAACAGCTTCCTGACCACCCTATAGCAGATATGCTGCTACAGGGCTGCACGGGAGCGCAAAACCACCTATATATATGTGATTTTGCATTCCCGGGTAGGAGGCGCGCACGAAGCGTGTGCGCAACCTACTCACGCCACCATTCGCTGTCAATCACTGGGTCCCGGCCAGTGATTACTCGCCGGCGCCCGGTGAACTGTAAACAATACAGTTCTCCTCCCTGTCAACTCATTCACACTGCTTTGGATGGCTGTGCATAGCACAGCCATCCAAAGCAGTGTGATTACAGTGAAGCACAAACACACAGACACAAGTAAAACAGCACACAGCTAACTCTTTCATCGCCCCCCACTTGTTGACCCCTTCCTGCCCAATGCCATTAGTACAGTGTCATTGCTTTTTGCAGCACTGATCACTGTATTAGTGTCCCTGGGGATGTCAGTGACACCAAGTCAGTTCCCCCCCCAGTGTCAGAATGCCCGATGCAGTCCCGTTGTAAGTCAAAAATATTGGGGTTTTTTCCTCAAAATTGTCGGTATTTTTTATAGTGCAAAAAAAAAAGAAAAAAAAACGCCCATTCGATCAAATACCACCGAAAGAAACCTCAATGCATGTGAAAAAAAGGACGTAAATTTAATTTGGGTGCAGCGTTGCATGACGTGCAATTGTCAGTTAAAGTAACGCAGTGCTGTAACATAAAAAAATGGCCTGGTTTGGGGGGGTAAATCCTCAGGAGGACGAGTGGTTAAAAGACATTTGACTCAACAATGCAGCGCAGGTGCATTTTTGCTGTGTTCTTTATTCATTTTAACGGGAGATGCATTTTTGGGGCAGTTTTTTTAGAGAACCAAAAATGCAGTAAGCAGGGTTTTGAAAACCACAGCTCATCAGTGTGAAGCGTCCCATAGGAATACATGGTCACACATTTTTTTTTTTTTTTTTTTAACCACTTCCCGTCTAGCCCATGTACATAAACAACTGGAAGGAAGCAGTGCAGGAGTGAGGGGGTGGCCATTTATAAATGTCCTCCCGCATTCCCTGCCTGTGCGCGCTGTCAGGGAGCGCGTAGCACAGCGATCTGGTGCCCGAGGTGTCCGGAGGACACAGTGGAACACCGTTCACTGTACGGGAGCTCTGTGTGAGGTCCTGATCATGTGATCACTGACTGGCCAATCAGTGATCACATGAATAGTAGTAAGCAAGATGTCACTTCCTGACATCATTGCTTACTACTTGTGAAATTTGTGAATGATCACAGAGGTCACATTGTACAAGGCTATTCACAACAGCCTTGTACCATGTGACAAGCTGTGACCAATCACAGTATTTCTCAATGGCTGCAAGAATGCAGCCAGAGAGAAGGAGAAATGTTTGCTTTTACAGCCTTATGGGTGTAAAAGCAATCAGTGTAAAAAAAAAAAAAAAAAAAAAAAAAAAAAAAGAAAAAAAAAAACTTCATCACCCCCCACAAGTAGTAGTGTCACACTGTACTGCTAGGGTGACAGTATGTTAAAAAAATATATATAAAAGATAAAATAAAAATGTAAAACTATTTTTGAAAAATTATAATTTTTGGTTATAAACTAATTTGGGTTATTTTTTTTTTTTAACTAAAAAGATAGCTGAATACATTTTGGCCAAGATTTATGAAGAAAGATTATTTATTTACAAAAAAATTTATAAGAAAAACACTTTTTTTTCAAAATGTTTGGACGTTTTCATTTATACAGCAAAAAATGTAAAACTCCCAGTGGTGAATAAATACCACCAAAATAAAGTTTTATCTGTCTCCAAAAAAATTCATATTGGTACAGTGTTGCATGACCGCTCAATTGTCAAAGTGTGATAGCACTGAAAGCCGAAAATTGGCCTGGACAGGAAGGGGGTGAAAGTGTCCGGACTTGAAGTGGTTAATACAAAAGTAGTGAAAGCAGCCTATGGTTATGATCACATGAGCGTGTTTACTAGTCGGTCCCCAGCTGCCAGTCTGGTCTGAATAATGCATCCAGTCTTCAGGCAGACTGAAACCTGGACACAATTCAAAACCCAGACTGTCCGAGTGAATTCCGGACAGGTGACAACCCCTTTACTGGTATCTTCAGCCCGAAATCACTATATAGCAGGGGCGGACTGAGCTCATGGGGCCCCGGGCTCATGGGGCCCCTGTGTCCTTGCTCAAACTCAAAAAAAGCCTATGAAAAAGGTACCGGGGCATCTCATGGGGCCCCCTACTGACCACGGGCCCTCAGGCAGTGTCCCCGAATTTCCAAATTGTCAGTCCGCCCCTGCTATATAGGTTTAAGTAAATGTTATAAAAGTGTGTCATGGTAAACATCAGGTGTTTTTCCCCCTTTAAAAAGATCACGTGATGACTCGAGAAGGAAGGTTATAAAATCATTGTTTACATAATGACAAGAATAAAAATAAACGAGGACTGGCGAATGCAGCCAAGTCATTCACAGCAGGCAGCTGCCACGTAGCCAGCGTCGAAATGGCAGGTTGCAGAACCAGAATAGGCTGCCCAGCCATTGTCTACACACCCTGATTTACATCAAGCCACGTGGTCAGCCCGCCAGACTTGACGGATCCTGTTGGACGCTCAGCGAACAATCCGTTATCGGAAGGAAGCGTGATCAAAGATGAACCGATCAGCCTGAACCTTTAACAACATCTACAACGTCACATGTGACAGCTCAGCCTGCAGGGCCCGCCCTTTCCCCCGTCTCCTCTTAGCACGCACGTGACTTCCTCTTCCTCTCCACCCTCCACTCTTGGGTCGCCGGTTAACTGTTGGTTGCCTGGCAACGCATTTAAAGTGAGAAGCTCCGTGGAAGGAATTGTTGAGTCCTGAAGGCAGAACTCGACACGGGAGGGGTGTGGACTGGAGGTGTACAGGAGAGGTGACACACGTACACAGGCGCTTTGGGGACAGCTTCCAGTCGGAGCGGACACCGTGTAACAGAGCCTGGCTGCTGAGGGAGCCGGCCGGGGTGAGTCCTCCTATTGTGACAAACACTGGTTCAGTGTGTGTGTGGTGATAATGTCACCTCTGTGCCTCACTCATAACAAGGGCAGTGCCATGGAGTGACAGGACTGCTGCGTTACTCAATGGAGTCCCTGGAACTTCTTTTCTGTTCTCTCCAATTCTGGACACCTTTCCAGACACTATATTTCTTTTTCTGGGTGTCCTAAGACCTGGCTAAGATAAGGCCCAGTTCACACCTGAGCAGTGCTGCTGCGT